GCAACAGCAACAGCAACAGCAACAGCTGCAACAGCAACAGCAACAGCAAGGTCAACAGCAACAGCAGCAAGGTCAATTGCTCCAGCTACAAGGTCAAATGCTCCAGCTGCAAGGTTGATTGCTCAACAAAGAGGAGGAAGATCAAAAGGTTCCATCAACTACACCTTTAGAGAGACCATGGACATGCTGACACTCATGAGGAGGATCCTTGCTATTGGACCAGAACAATGGAGAGAAGTTGTTGATATCCATGAAGAGAAATGGGGGAATGGAAGAGACAAGGAATCCATCAACAGGAAGTACTCTTCCCTCCACAGCAGGAAACAAATTCCTACTGGGAATCTGTACATGTCTCCAGCAATCAAGCGTTCAAAGGAGGTGAAGCTATTAATTGATGTGAAGGCAGCCATTGGAGATGGGGAAGAGGAGTTTGATCTGGAAGAAGGATACACAATTAGTGAGGATTACACCACTTTAGTGCTAGGTAACAACAACAAGAACATTGAGGACAACAATGGGACCCCAAGTCCTCCTCCTCTTCAACAGCCCTGCTGGGAGAGTGACATGAAGAGCTTGAGACACCAACTCAAATTGCTGCAACTCAGATGGTTCAGCTTGCTCAAGGAACTCAATCCACTCAAGGAACCACTCAAGCAACAAGAACCAAATCAACTCAGCAAACCCAATCAACTCAGCAAGCATCGATTGTTTCTGTTCCTCTGAGCACTCCTTGGCTCAAGAGAGCATACTCAAGAGCCTCCAGTCGCTCCAATATCAGCAGCAACAACACGGATATCACATCCATGTTCCAGATGTCCATGAAGCACCAGGAATCGCTTGCTGTTAAGCAACAAGCCTTACAAGAAGAATATTGATGCAACAGCAAAAAGCTTACCAAGAAGCATCAATTCAACAGTATCAGCATACTTTGACAGAACTCAAAGATATGGTCTGTGTCCTTGCCAGCGCTTTTGTCAGGAAGAGGAAGAAGAGGAGACATGAGGACTCCTCCTCTTCCTCAGATGATGATTCTGTCTAATCCCATGGTTAAATACAAATTACGATTATTAAATTAAACTACTGTTTGCTGATTGCTGTTTGCTCCTCTTTGCTGCTGTTTGCTGTTTGCTCTATTTGCAATTTATGAGTACTGAATAACACTGCAGTACTATACTGCTTCTAAATCCAGCGTATGCGGTACTTTGTGTAAAGGTACCCATGAAAACTTAACTGTGGGATTCCTTCCATCATGTGCAATGAGTTAGCTCTATGTGAACCTGTGGGTTTGCTTCCATGTGCAACAAGTTGGCTCTATGTGAGCCAAAGCATGTCGACAATTGTGTGGGGTTCCTTCCATGTGCAACATGTTTGCTCTCAGTTACTGGTCTTGGTTTTTTGTGGGAAGGTACACATGAAAACTGGCAGCACAAAATAAAACGGCGCTATAGTGGGCAAAGAACTCAAATGACATGGTGTATCGCGTAGGTTGCTTTGCTCTTTTAGCTCACTCTTCACTCTTCATAATCTAACTGGAGGAGTAACTGGAGTAACTGTAGCAATAATTAGTAATTCATTAGACATTAGATAACTGAAACAACCATGGTGCAATGGACAGCTTCTTGCAATTGACAATTGACAATCTGCAATACAATCAACAATCCGCAATGCAATTGACAATCCACTCACGACAACAGGTCAGGGAATGAGCTATTGGTGTCCCCATTGGGCTGAAGTTGGTAAGCAAAGTATCCTATCTGTCTCCTCCCATAGGATTCCCCCAGCTTTTCAAAGGATTCAAGGCCACTTGTATTGTTCATGAAGGTGTTGAGGATCTGATTAATGCCCACCTTGCTGCAGTGATAATTATACAACAACAACAACAACAACAACAACAAGAGGTTAACAATAACCTTCCTATCACTAAGCTCCTCCAGTTTAAGCCATTCTTTCATTCTTGGGAATTGCCCCTGAATCATTTGCATACCCCATTCAGATAACTGGCTGACTGCTGTGGCTTCCTTATTAAGTACAATAGCATGATTGTTCTGCACCATTGTGGGGAAATTATCTGGATCATTCTGCTGGCTTCTAGTAATGGTGAGATACTTGGACCCTCTGACCTTAAACGTAGAATTGACGACAGCTGACCCCCCATTCCTTTTACATATGGCCGCCAACTTCTCCTATATGTCATAATCTGCCATGGTGCTGTCATGGAAAGTCCCAGGACAGTTATATGTTGTCATCCAGATTTTTTCTGTTGGGGGCATAGACAAGGCAACAATAATTCAATTTTCATACACAAAAGATACTAAGAGTACACGTATTTTGTGGACAGATTTTCATGACATCTGGTTAAATTTGATGTCCAGCATGAACTTGTGGAGCAGCTGCCATGGAGCATGCTTACATTAAGATCCCTGTTCTTTTGCTCCCTGTATGAAGGAATTGCTTATTACTTACCATACCGTGTGGGTACCTGTAATAAAATATACAATAATAAATACACAATACAAAGTCCGTAGGATTCTACACACACACAAATTATTGCTAACTCCCTGAAATACAAGTTTTTGTAAGAGCGAGCCTTACTACTATTGGAGGGAAAATTCAAAAAAACTTTGTAAAAAATTGAGGTCCGAGTACACACCTTGCTACAATGCTAAGTACTTCAGAGTACTCGGAAGAGTGCTTAATACTGGGAAATGAAAACCTGCAATTTTAAGGAGTCGACAGTACTAAGAGTACTGCTTACTACTGGAAATAAACACCTCCACACAAACTCCTTACTACTGATTCCTACAAGCACCTCAGGCCCAATACTACTGGTACTGGGGGTGTTGCTAACTGTGTTAATGGGAATACTGCTTACTTTTTCTTAACAGCTATCTTACATAGCTCTTTTATTCAGGAGCGGCTTGTATCAGCATCCTCCGTACCAGCAAGCCTCCATATCAGTGGAAGCCGTATCAGCATCCTCCGTATCAGCAGCATCCTCCGTATCAGTGGATTGTATCAGCGGCTCGTATCAGCATCCTCCGTACCAGCAAGCAAGCCTCCGTATCAGCGGAAGCCGTATTGGCATCCTCCGTATCTGCGTGCGTATCAGCATCTCCATATCAGCAGCTTGTATCAGCGGTTCATATCAGCATCCTCCGTATCAGCGGCTCACATCAGCATCCTGCGTATCAGCATCCTGCGTATCAGCAATTCTGTGTCAGCAATTCCGTGTCAGCATTTCCGTATCAGTGAGCCTCCGTATCAGTGAGCTGTATCAGTGACCCTCCGTATCAGTTAGCGTCCTCTGTATCAGTGACCCTCCGTATCAGCATCTCTGTATCAGCATCCTCCGTATCAGCAACTCCCCCCATGATGGATCCGCACCTTCACTGGTGAGCATCCTCTTTATCAGCAAGCGTCCTCCGTATCAGCATCCCCATATCAGCGACTCGTATCAGCGGATCCTCTGTATCAGCATCCTCCGTATCAACATCCTCCGTATCAGCAAGCCTCCGTATCAGCAGTGAGCCTCTGTATCAGCATCCTCCTCTGTATCCTTATCAGAGGATCACCATGGGCAAGTCCCTTGCAAAGTTCTGCGATAAAAAGAATAAAGCTGGTGCTTGCTGAGGGGGGGGGGGAGCTACGCAAAATTCCTACACAAATTTAGTACTAGAAAATAATCAATCATTGCCAACGACTCCAGTCCCTTGTATGTGGGAGTGTGTATCATTATTTGTATCATTCAGTTAGGAGTTGTACGGTGGGTTATTATACTTATTAGTAGGTGACTCCAGTAGTTAATAAAATAATACAAGTACACACATCAGCACCGTAGAAATGTACACAGAAAAATTTTGATACTACTAAATATGAGGGGTGTGAAAATATGTATCATATAATATACCACAGTAATACAATGGTAAAAAATACATGTGTATCATTTAGCAGATACCGTAACAGTTCTGATGTACCAGTAGCATGTGCTTTTTCTTTACTAGTCATTGCTACGAGTGGATGCAACACTTAGGCATTTGCGCAGATGGATGTTCCTTGTTCTTTGTTGTTCCTCACAGGATCAATTCTCACTGTCAGTAGTTGCGGTTTCCGATTGGAGCATCACATACATACAAAGCACAGACTCTATGGCTCTTTTTTGTGAAACAGGATACCACCACAACCTTGTATTGTATAATACGTAGAATCAGTACCAGATACTAGAAATGAGCATGCCCGTGAATTAAAATTAATTTTTGACACATGAAAATACACCCTTTTAACACGGCAATTTATTGCTCGCCTACACCACGTAACTCAAGTGGAATAACGCCGTGTATTCTTCGGGTTCTTTTATTTTTGAAGTGTGTTGCAGTGTTGAATATTAAGTGGAAAGTGGAATCACCCTCGCTCGTTTCTTCTACGGAAGCCAAATCGTTTCCCGAGTTCGAAAGTAGGTTAAGTAGATTACAGTAACCAAAAACTCGAGACAAGTTTTCCACTTAATGTTCAGGACGAGAACACACTTCAAGAATAAAAGAACCTGAAGAATACCGGGATTATTCCACTTGCGTTAAGTGGTGTAGGCGAGCAATAATTTAATACCACTCGGCTCCCATTTACATTGCCTTTTTATCTATACCACGTAAGCATCTCGAGTACGTGAGCAATAAAGTGATGCCACTCGCGTAAGCGAGCAATAATGTGATGCCACTGAATTATTCTTGTACGGATTCCTTGTTTCTTCATCACTTCGAAGTCCACAAGCGTGCGAACCACTCGTACGAGATTTCGAAGAATAATCTATCAAGGGAGGATTTCATTAAAAATAAAGCAAGATAGGGAAAAAGAGAAGGGTTAATAGAAAAGAAAAAAAGAGATGGCCACTGTAAATATAAGCAGCGGTCAAAGGACTGCCGTCAGTCGCCCTGAGGGCTCTTCGCGAAAACAAAACAGTTTCGTCCATAGATGCGACTTCGCCGCTACTATTAATGGGGCAGCGAGTGGAACAGACGTATACGAAAAGAAACAATCAAATAATTCTTCGAGAATTAGCAACAGAACCACGAGAACTTGCACATCGAGTGTGTGCACCACAAGAACTTCCCTGACCTCTACTAGGCTTCCATTGATGATCTCCCCAGTCTATGGTGATTCTCATGTAGCCGACGCTTCCATATACTTCGATGACATCAGAGATTGCATTTTGGCTGCCCGTGAAGTGAAATCAATATCACCAAGCGAAATAAAATCTAGGAAGAAAACGATGAATCCCTTAAAGAAAACGAAAAGCAGGAGGAAATCGGAACTCCATATCGACGCCGTTGCTGATGACCAAAATGACAGGAACAACCAACGGGCAGAAGACACCCGATCAACTTCAAGCTCGAAGAATAGTAACAGTTTAGGTAGGATCAAAGGCAAAGGCAAAGAACAATCTATTAAAGCCAGCTGCACTGACCAGCAGAAGAATGGAGAAAAGAAAACGAAATTCAATCCCTCGGACGAAATTAAATTCGAGGAAGATAAGGGTAAGCATATACTAGAGATCCCGACTCATGATGACATATGTTCTGCATCGTCAGAGGAAATCGAGGAAATCGAGGCGATGAACTTTGTGGATGCCTTAGACCAGACAAGTCATGGGTTTATGAACAAAGCCCCACTGACCACGCAAAGCGTAAAAAGATCATCATGCTATTTCTCTGCGCTGACGAGTTATGGCTTCATTGAGCGCACTGCAATGAAACCTGACAGAATTGAGGCATTTTTCTATAGCAATGGCATGACGCTATCTCTAGGTATCTTGTTTTTCGCAATAAATGTGATCGTTGGTGCACATGCTGCGTCTCAATTCACGCCGTTTGGTGGGTTCGTTACGGACAGTGACATCTTGCGGGTTACTCTACCAATAGCTCGAGCCGGAGGGAGACTGGTCACCTTCAATTGTGCCTTGCTGCTCCTCACAGGATGCAAGTATATGTGTACCCTGATTCGAACTTATGTCGTGCCAGTCATTCCAATCGGATTTCCGATGGACGACATCATGCCAAAATATCATCGATTCGTCGGTTTATGCATTATTGTATCTGGATGTATCTTACATACGATTCCCCAGGCAATTAATTACGCAACAGGGAAAATATGGTTGATTAAAAATGGAGGAAAGATCTGGACTTTTGGCAACGGTATTGCTCAGACGCAGCTCTTGATAACAGGGTCACTTTTGCTTGCAATATTTGTAACGTTCTTCCTTACTACTCTTAAGGGCTTCCGAAAAACTGCTGCCGGATTTCGATGGTTTTGGTTTTTCCACACGGGAGGAGTCGCTCTGGCATACCCTCTTCTAATTATTCACGGGACCTACAAGGGGAGTCCTCTGTTCCTTTATTGCGCCTTCATCCCATTGGTTATATACCTCCTTGACGTAATACTGAGGCGTTCAAAGATCACAAAAGCCGAAGTTCTTCTTTGGAAGACGCACTCTGACAAAGGGCACAACCTTACGGAACTTGTTCTCAAATGCCCTCAAAACTTTGTTTACACTCCTGGCCAGTACGTTGAATTGAAGTTCCCTACTCTTTCTAATCACGAATGGCATCCGTTCACTATTGCAAGTGCTCCCAACAGTGTCATTCGCGACTGTGGCGACACCAGAGTGCTCGTCTTCTTCATCAAGGCAACCGGAAGATGGACACAAGCTCTCTTCAACTATGCCTCGGCGTTCAAACTGTCAAAAGCCACACAAAGTCAAGAAATGATCATCCGTGGTCCCCATGGTGCTCCGATCGTAAATTTCTCCGAATACAAACATATCATGCTGGTTGGGGCAGGTGTTGGGGTGACACCACTTTTGTCAGTTTGGCAACACCTGTTAGGGGAGGGACGTTCTAAAATCGAAGCGTACCACAGAGAACCATCGTTCCGCTATACATTCCAAGAAGAAGACGACGAAAAGACTTCAAAATTCCGGTCCATGTGTCACCGCATTGAGCACGTTCTGGAGTCTTTAACGGCATCGATTTGTCTTCTTTGCATCTCCGTTATTGGCGAGACGGCTGTAATTACAGGCACACTTTTCGGGTACTACTGGGAGGCTAATATGATTGGATCCATCCTTGCAAGCGGCTTGGTGTTATTTCATAGTGGAACCATCCTTGTGTCTATAGTCGCATACGATGGTGGTATCCAGTATTTTTTTCGTTTCAAGTGCTGGCTCGAAAGTGGAATCGTTCTTGTCGATGCGGTGAACTTTTTTATTGTTCTTCCGACGTTGACCAGAACAAACCCGAGTGACAAAGAAATAAGCACACCACTCCTATTTGGACTCGCTGGTATGAGCGTATTCCTGCATGTGGCCCGGACGTTCCATGTTTTTTATACCGTGTTGAGGCCCAAGACTGAATTGATGGAAGGGCAAAAACAGAACCACATCTGTTCAGTTCAAGGGATATTTGTCAACAGAAGTTATAAGGGAATGAGATTTGCATTCGAGCAATTGCTCCAACCACTCGAAGAGGGGCTGTCAGGGGCATTCTCATTGCAATTTTACGCCACCCAAGAAAAGGATAAGAAGAAAACCAAAACGATGAAGTCTCTAAAAAGGGGGGTGGATGCCAGCTTCCACGGAAGAAAATTAGCATCAGATTGGGACACCAGTACCGACAATTTCTACTGTTTTCGAGAAGGACGTCCCGACTGGGAATTGATTTTCCGGAAGTCCATTCTCAAAGCCCATTTTTCTTGCACCTCCGGTGATTCAGTGGGTGTGTTCTTTTGTGGAAATCCGGCCTTGTCGAAAGAGTTAAACGAAGTGGCAGATAGAGTCAGTGCTCAGCACCGATACTCCGTAAAGAAGGCAAAGGGAATGAGTTGCAAGTGCAAGATCGTGGTTCACACAGAGAACTACTAGGTCCAGGATTTGATGCGGCTCAAGCCAGGGCTTCTACCAAAATTATGTACAAAGCGGGAGAAATTCCTACAGGTGCGGGTAAAAACATGGAATTTTACCTCCTGAAACCGCATGCTACCGTACGTACCAAATAAAACTTCATTATTTAAATTAAAAATGTTTGGGAAGGATCAAATATTACTATCCTCTTATTTGCTCATCAGTCAGAGATTTACTTCCTCCGCTCCACTAAGTGTGTCATTGTTACCCTATTTACTGGTCCTGAAACATTGTCCTTGTTGTTGGGCCTACATATGATTGTGTACATTTAGTACCAGATACTTATTTGAGAAACATTACTATTAATTTTACTACTTGTTACTACCACTACGTCACAAAAAGTGTTCGCAAGCAGTAGCGACCGCTCGCAACCTTTTTTTTAAAAATACACACCCTTTTTTATTTTCACGCGCCCACTGAACCTCACGCATAGCATGGTTTTGGTCGCGTTCAAACACAACC